GTATAGAATGAAGAAAATAGGGTCATTCCGTGCCAAGTGGTCCAAATTTTAATGAGGTCCCTCATTGACCATCTCAGATTTTATTGAAATTTTTTGATTTTGTACATATATATGTGAAAAGCATGTTTTGAAAATTTTAGATCAATATCTAATATGGTTCTTGATAAAATGCTGTTTAAGTAGTGGGCTATTTTGCATGAAATTTCACTCTACAAGAAAAAAGGTTTTTTTCATCATTTTTAACAGCCAATAACTTTTGAACAAATTAGTTTTATACTTCAGTTATTATAAAATAGCAAGTGTGCTGTAGATACTTTGGAAAAAGAAAAAAAATTTAAATCTGGCATGTTAACTTTTTCCATAATGGCGGGCTAAAGTTGAGATTTTTGTTTTTAAAATAATTTTTTTTGTGATTTTAATGATCTTAATCTTAAAAACTAGTTAAAAGATTATTACAAATCAAATTACCTGCTAATCTACATGTGGTGGAGAAACATTTTTGAAAAAAAAAGAAAGTTGGATAAAAAGCTGCATTTAAAAGTTATAGGTCTCCAAAATGAGTCGGATCGAGATTTTCATAAAATTGATCTGTCATACAACGCATCTGTTACCTAAGATGGCACTTTTTTCATAAATCTTTTTGCACGCATCAATTAAAGAGTGTTAATTAATAAAATAATAATTAAATTCTCTTAGAGTTATCAGTCTTTCATATGCCAAAGGTTTTGGTTTAATACCTGGTCAAAAATTTTGCACTAGTTGCAAAAAAGTTCTGAATTGCAAACATAATACAAAAGAAAATGAACTCCAAGAAAAAGAAATTTATGTTGACAACCATACATTTAAAGAAGATTTTAATTTAAGTATTGCAAGTTTTGAATGTTCACCTCTCAAACTTGTTTCAAAAAAAGATAGAGTTGCATATATAAAGCGTAAAATTGATAGCGTAAAAGCTCATACACAAAAGGCTGTTGCCAATGTGCTAGGTTTAGAAATAGCTGCACTTGGTGGAATTAAATCACCCTCAAAAAAATGTTTGAAAAAAAAACAAACACAGATTTAGACAATATTATGACTCAAATTAAGTCAAAATTTGAAAAAAACATTGTAAAATTCTGAAAAAATCACACTTCTTACACTCACTCCAGACAGTTGGTCAATAGAGAAAACTCAATAGAGAAGTACTTTTTGACTTCAAAAAGATCTGTAGTACAAGCCAGAAAATTAAGGAAAAAAAGTGATATACTATCATTACCTTCTCCAAAACCGGGTACAAAATTAAGCAAAGATGTAATTACAGAGGTTGTTCATTTCTATGAATGTGATGAATATTCAAGGGTTTGTCCAGGAAAGAAAGAGTTTGTTTCAGTTAAAGTAGATAGTATAAAGCAACACATCCAAAAGCGACTTCTACTAGTCAATATGAAAGAGCTACATATTGAGTTTATAATTATCTTAAAGTTGGATTTTCAAAATTTTTTGAGCTAAGGCCCAAGTGGTGCATTCCTGTGGGTAACGCTTCTGGTCTGCATGCAGTTTGTGTTTGCCAGTACCATCAAAATGTAAAGCTCTTCGTACAGAAAATTCCTGGAATTGCTGATTACAAAATTTTATTGAAATTAATGGTTTGTAGCATTAAAAATATAGATTGTATGCTGCATAGCTGCGATAAATGTCCTGCAAAAGAGGTTTTGTTAGATTACATTAATACTTTGTTTACAGAAAATGAAATTAGTAAAGTTAATTTTTATCAATGGCAAAAATCAAATTACCATTGTACTTTAACACCAGCAACTTTACCTTTAGATGAATTTATTGAAATGGTTTATGAACAGTTAGATAGTTTACAAGAGCATCATTTTGTATCAAAAAGTCAAGCCACCTACTACCAACATTTAAAAAAAAATTTAAAAGAAAATCAAGCTTTAGTTCTTCTTGACTTTGCAGAAAACTATAGTTTTCTAATACAGGATGCAGTGCAAGGTTTTCACTGGAATAACAGCCAGGCAACTGTGCACCCCTTTGTTGCGTATTTTATAAAAGATGGAAAACTTGATAGTCAAAGTTATTGTGTTATATCAGATCATCTGAAACATGGAACAGATGCTGTTCATTGCTTTATCGATAATGTTATTGATAAACTTAAACAATTACAAACATTTGAACACATTATCTATTTTAGTGATGGAGCTGCATCAAAAAATGTTATCAACTTATGCTACTATAAACACGATTTTGACATGACTGCAGAGTGGCTCTTTTTTGCAACATCCCATGGTAAAAGCCCTTATGATGGTGTTGGTGGAACAGTGAAACGTCTTGTTGCACGAGCCAGTCAACAGTCACTTAACGATCCTATTGAAACACCAAGCAAAATGTACAGCTGGTGTGTTCATCATGTCAAAGGAATATTTTTTTTTTTTTGTTAACAAAGTTTTAATAGAAACACATATTTTTAATTTGGAAGAGAGATATCGTTCTTGTTCTACAATACCTGGGACCCGAAACCACCACAGTTTTATCCCAACATCACTTACCTCAATGAAAATAAGAAGAGTTTCATTTGATAATATTTGTTAATGTGGATTTTTCTACTTGCAGAATTTTTATTAGTTACTCACCAGGAGAATATGTGGCCTGCGTTTACGATGCTCAATAGTATTTAGGAAATATTCTTAGTATTTCAAAAGAGCATCAAGATCTTAATATGAAATTCATTAAAAAGTCTTTATGTAACAAGTTCACGCGGCCATGCAGAGATGATCTTTGTTGGGTACGTCTGATGCATATTTTATGCAAAGTACAATCTCTTAAAATCCAGTCAAACAGTGGAAGAATTTATAGTATTGACTTAAAAGAAATCAATGAGATTATTTTATTATTTGAGAAATTTAACTTTTTGTAAATTTTATTAATTTTGTTTATTTTCTTAAAAACATTTTGTTTATTTTTCATTAAAAAAAAAATTGTATTATAAAGCGGGGAGGGGACAGAGGGGGAGGGAGTTTATCTATTGGGATTTAAAAGGACTTTATCTATTGGGATTATAAGACTATAAGCATTGATATTTTTAAATTGATATTTCATAATAAATAACATTATATAATTCAATGCATTTATTTATTATGTTAACTTCAGAATTTTATGGAAAATTTACCTGACTTTTAGAGACTACCTTTTGGGGGTTGTAAATAAGTACCCATTAATTTTTTTGGTTTTTATTAGTTAACACTCTTTAATTGATGCGTATAAAAAATTTTATGAAAAAAAAAAAGTGCCATCTTAGGTAACAGATGCTTTGCATTACAGATCAATTTTATGAAAATCTCGATCCGACTCATTTTGGAGACCTATAACTTTTAAATGCAGTTTTTTAACCAACTTTTTTTTTTTTCAAAAATGTTTCTCCACCACATGTAGATTAGCAGGTAATTTGATTTGTAATAATCTTTTAACTAGTTTTTAAGATTAAGATCATTAAAATCACAAAAAAAATTATTTTAAAAACAAAAATCTCAACTTTAGCCCGCCATTATAGAAAAGGTTAACATGCCAGATTTAATTTTTTTTTCTTTTTCCAAAGTATCTACAGCACACTTGCTATTTTATAATAACTGAAGTATAAAACTAATTTGTTCAAAAGTTATTGGCTGTTAAAAATGATGAAAAAAACCTTTTTTCTTGTAGAGTGAAATTTCATGCAAAATAGCCCACTACTTAAATAGCATTTTATCAAGAACCATATAAGATATTGATCTAAAATTTTCAAAACATGCTTTTCACATATATATGTACAAAATCAAAAAATTTCAATAAAATCTGAGATGGTCCATAAGGGACCTTTGCACCACTTGGCATGGAATGACCCAATAAGTAGTTAATGTATAGAATGAAGAAAATAAGCAGTTAATGTATAAAATGAAGAAAATAATAAGTTAATGTATAGAAAGAAGAAAATAAGTAGTTAATGTATAGAATGAATAAAATAAGCAGTTAATGTATAGAATGAAGAAAATAAGTAGTTAATTATAGAATGATGAAAATAAGCAGTTAATTTCATTTATGAAACAACCAGATAATTTATGTTAAATCAAGGTTTTAATAATGAAATTGCAAGAAGATTCATGAACAAATATAAAAAAAAAAAAAAAAAATTGTTAAGCATTTTGATAACCTCTTTGGTTATGATCAAAGTACGCTAAAGTAACAAAATTTAATGTCTTTAGGTAATTTTGCAATATTTAGCTGCAACACAATAATTCCAAAATCATTCAAAAACTGCCAAAAACTGTTACGTTAAAGTTTTATTTTACTATTCTTGAGTTAGGATATAAGATATAATGTTTTTTATTCATAACTTGATATTATCTGATATGCATAAAATGATATAGTTATAAGATTTGTTAATTATAATTAAATGTATAGGATTTAGCAGATATAAGATTTTGAATAGATTGGCAAATTGACTTGAAATTTTCAAAGATGCCTTTTCTGTGTAAAATCTGTAATTGGTCATAATCTGAAATTGTTCTCAAATGAATTAATCTGAGATAATTCTTAAATGTGATGTATTTTCTTAGATGGTTCTCAACACTTTCTAAAAAACTTGTAACTCGAAAAAATTTTTTTTTTGACTGTCTTGTGTTAAGTGTGCTGCAGCAATCAACAGTTAGGAAACATAAACAAGATTCTGCATCTGCATAATAATCTGCATATGCATAAACATATACACGTTTACAAAAACACATCTATAAAATGTTGTACATATGAGTTCAGTTAAATTAATTAAAAAATGTATTTTATATAAATATACTCAAGAGGATGGTGGCATACTTATGTTTATTTATAATTCAGGATGTGGAAACAGTTCTTTAAGTGAAGAACTTTATAAAGATGGTTATCAAAATATCATTAATATAGATTATTCCAACATTGTTATTGATAAGATGTCGGAGCGTTACAAACACTGTCCTTTAATGAGTTGGTTGGTTATGGATATATTTGATTTAAAGTTTGATTCCTTAAGTTTTGATGTTGTAATAGAAAAAGGGACATTAGATTCGTTTATGGTTAACCAAAAAGACCCCTGGAGAATATCTTATGATTTAGAAGAAAAGTTGGAAAATATCTTGCTTAAGGTAAGTTAATTTTTTTAAAGATATATTGTAATTAAACATTTTTTTAAAGATATATTGTAATTAAACATTTTTTGTTTGTTTGAAATTTAGTCCTCTAGTTATTTACAGTTTGAAAGTCATCATAAGTAACAATAAGTAAGTAACAATAGCACAGTGAATACTTTAATTTTTAGATTGACTTTTTTTCTTTTATTTTATGAACTTTAAAATAAGAATACTAGTCTTGCTTATTTCTCATTTTTTCTTGAAAAAATTTGGATTGTGTCTTTCAATTAAAAAAAAGTTTAAAGATTGTATACGCATCGTGTTGCTTAAGGTTATTAATCTAGATTATTACAACTTCATTAACAGATTAATATTATGTATTGTTGGGTGCTGAAACTGGATGATCTACCATATTTATGTTTGCAGTACAGTATGAGCTTAGAATTCATTTAGAAATGGTAAAATATTTTGTGAAATTTGAAAAATACCTATTTTTCTAAATAAATAAATTGTATGCAAACATGCTAACCAGTGTCAAAGTCATAAAAGTAACATTTGGGTCTACTCTCTAGTGTTGCAACATTTAGATTAACACATAAGAGATTCATTATTTGGGTCAATTCATAAGAGTTGCAACACTTCGGTTAACTCATAAAAAATTCCAAAAAAATTTTTTTTTTAACAACTTCACTCTCAATAAGGCTGCAAGAAACTGCTATTAGAGTTGGAAGTCACTGGAAGAGAAAAGATAAAGATTGTAGAGCGAGATAACGATTGACAGACGACTTAACAGATTGCAAATTATATTAATCAGGAAAACAAGATAAAGGAAACGAGTTCCAAATAACTGATGTTCTAGGAAAAAAACTAGACATTAAGAATTTTCGGAGCACTCAGAATCAGTCACAGTAAAAGGATAAGAATTGAATGAATGTAACATGAGAACAAATCTTAGTAGACAGCACAAAAGATACCATCTCTTTATAGCAACCCCATTATAGTATTTATAAAAAAAAAGAGAAAGAAAAGCGACATTACGTTGATGTAATAATGGTTATAGGTTGGCTGCAAGAGCAGGTCCAACTACGTTTACAATGCGTTTTTGCACCTTGTCTAAAAGAGAAAGGGCATTATTTGAAGATCCGTTCCAGATATGGCAACAGGTTTGAGATTTATAGAGATAAAGAATAGAATTCAGGGCAAGGAAGTGGCAAGTATGATAAAGAGATGCAACCTTAGCAGATGCTAATTTTGCAACTGATTTGATATATGGTTTCCAAGAAAGACTGGAAGTAAGATTAATCCTAGAAGATAAAGGGTAGATGACTCATCGAATACATTACTGTTCATAAATATAGGAAGATCTAGATTATTGCGATTAGCTGATAAAAATTTAGTTTTATCTGAATTAAGGTTCACCAGCCACTGAGAACCCCATATTGTAGCAGAAGTGATATCCTTTTCAAGCTTAAAGGCCCCTCCCAAGCAATCAGAGAGTGTTGGTTTCTTATCAAGACAATAATAATTATTAGTATCATCAGCGAAAAATGCCACCTTAGATGTGAGAATTTCTGGGAGATCATTAATGTAAACTAAAAAGAGTATTGGGCCAAAAAGAGAACCTTGAGGAACCACTGAAGTTACAGGATATGAAGAAGCTGTTCATTGAGGACAATATTTATACTTTAATTGGTAAAGAAAGATTTAAAAATCATATAGATGTAGAAGAAGGATTTAAAAATCATAAAGATACCTGATACACTGTAAGAAGAAAGCTTATGGAGAAGATCAGCATGCCAAACTTAATCAAACGCTTTAGAAATGTAGAGAACCTTAACCTCTCCACATCTATCTAATGCATGATAAAAACTATCTGTTATTACTGTTAGCAAATCAGCAGTAGAACAAGAAGACTGAAATCCATATTGATAATCAGAAAGTAAGTTATTAAATTCAAGATAAGAGATTAAGTGTCTTTTAATTAAATACTCACAAACCTTTATTATGATAGTAAGAAGACTAATGGGAGGGTTGGATAAGTCAGATCACTCTCCAGATTTGCCTTCCTGCTAGAAAGCAGATTACAAGCAACCACTATTAAGTTGGGAGTTACTAGGGGAAAAAAAAGTTATAGAGCAAGAAAACAGTTGACAGAAGACTTAAAAGGTTGTATGAATCAGGAAAACATTAAGATAGGAGAGTTCCAAAAGGTTGAAGTGCGGGGAAAAAAGCTAGGCAAATAAAAGTTTTTAGAGCATGCAGGGACAGATACAGTAAAAGAATGAGACTTTGATGAATGACAAGTCAAGCAAGAATGAGTTTTGGTAGATGGAACTAGAGGTGAAAGCTTCTTTGAACAGCGACCATGATAGTACTTAAAGAAAAGAGAAAGAGATGCAACTTTACAACAATGTAAAAGAGGCTCCAGTTTAGCAGATAGACCAGGTCCAACTACATTTACAATGCGTTTTTGGACCTTGTCTAGAAGAGAAAGAGCATTATTAGAAGAACCAGCCCAAATATGTCAACAGTACTCCATACAGGGACGAATAAGAATTTTGTAGAGGTAGAGAATGGAGTCAGGAGAGAGAAAATGGCGAGCACGATAAAGAAAATTATCTATGTGTGATCAAGTATAGTCTACTATATTTTTTTGTATTTCAATTCACCTCCTCAAGGCCACAAAAGCCACTCCAGTTGAGGAAGCTACTTTAATTATGGTTACAAACCTCTCTCAACTTTATAATACTGAAACAAGTTGAGCACCTTACTACCAAGAGATATGGTAGGGATCGAATATCACAAAATAAAATTACTCTAAAAACAACTTAATTGTCTAAAATAATTTAAATATTGAAACAACATGACTGTTGTTTAGATATATAAATTACTAATAAATGAATAAAGAATTCAAAGTAAACTGCTTATAATAGCACCATTTTCTTTTAAAAATTTAAATAAAAAGTGTTCCTCTAAATTTGTATTTATTTTTTTGAAAGTTTTCTTTTCATAGTAAAAAAACTAAAATATCTGTTTTTTAACTGAGTTTTTGTATTATCTTTTAAAATAATGGTTTGGCTCTGATTTGGGTCCAAGTATTTGTTTACCAGTACTGATTCCATAAAAAAGATTACAAAATTTAAAGTTGCATGGCTTTATATGTTCAAAATTTTAACAATTAGTTAATTCATCAGTATCTGCATCAGTATCAGCTATTTCCCATCTATCGGCATCAGCCAAAAAAGTGCTATCGGTACATCACTAATGTAAGTAATGGTTACGGTTGGAAATTGCAGCAGCACAATGAGTCCAAAAAGTTATGTAAGAAGCACATTTGTCAGCAGGAACAGGCTTTGTCAGGAAGCGAGAGCAATCGCTCTCGATTGCTGACCACAGAGATAATATTTAGTTGCGAAAAGCTGGCCAGATTTTTTAGTCGTTTTGAGAACATTTCAAAGCAAAAAAAAAAATGTGCAAAAGATTAATTGGACCGATGAGAAACAATTACAAAAAAAAAACAAAATTAGGAAAAAAAAAATCTTTTAACGTGAAAAAACTTAAAGCAAAATAAATTACGTTTAGAACAAATATTTTTAAAACATCGGTCTTTTATAATTTTTTTATAAAATTAAACAACGCTTTTTATATAAAGTAACATCTTACAATTGTTTAAAATAGAAACAAATGTTCTTTATTTAACAAAGTTTGCAAGTTTTAGTTTTGTCTAAGCTAAATTATTTTATAAATAAAAAAGTTAATTTTTTTAGTACCTATTTCATGTTTCGCGTAGTTTGAAAAGTTTAACATATTTGAAACTTTTCTTCTTAATAAAATAAACAAGTGAAATAATTAAGTCATTGAATTACTATAGAAATTAAATTAACTAGATAGGAATCAACTAAAAAGGCTAAAAATACTATATGACGAGGAGTGAAACTGCTTCACAATATCGCTGTTGAGGTTTAGTGAGTGGGTTTTTTTATTTTAATTAGTATTTAAAGCAGAAAAAAAGTATTACGAGTTTTGAAGAATGGCAACATAAGCGAAAAAATTAAAGTCAGTAAACTAATTTCTAAAAACTTTTCTTTTTATCTAATAACTTGCTCCATATATTTGTGCTCGGTCATGACCTTGGACGCGGTGCTTGTTCAACCGCAAGTTACTTTGTATGCATTGTTTGTGTTTAGTAACCAGAAACTTCTTATATGTTTGTTACATAATTAGTTTTATTAACTTTAATGATTATTAATAACTTCATTGAAAATGCAATTATTTTTGTAAGTCTTTGTTTACAAATTAAGTCATTAAAATTGCTTTAAAAGATTACATTACGATAAAAAACAGATACACAAAATTACATTTGCAAAAAAAATACATTTTAAATAAAAAATAAGAATATACTAATAAAATCTATAATTTATGAAAAACTTTCAAAATTTTAATAACTTAGATAATGTATATTTAAAACATTTATTTTTGTAAATAAATAATAGTAGTTTATAAGTTTTACGGCTTTACAGATGTGGCTCCGAGAATGAGCCATAGTATCGATAATATATTCTTAAAACAATTTATGCTAGAAACGTATAAAATCTCAAAACGTAACAAATTGTGAATACAATTTTTAAACATTTCAACAGAATACTCTAGAACTTTATTTCGCTTAGTCAGCCTATTTTTTGAACCAATAGAATTAGTTTGTTCAGTTTTCAGTGTTTGCGAATATTCTTTTTATGTTTTTTATGTTTCCATGTATGTCCGTAAACCAAAAATTTTTTGTTTCGTATATAGACTTAAATGTTCTCAAAACAACTAAAAATCCTGGCCAGTTTTTCGCAATTAAATATAATTTTTGTGGTCAGTATTCAAGAGCGATCGCTCCCGCTTCCCAACCAAGCCTGCAGGAATATGGAAGATTTCTACCCAATAGCCATCACAAAGAAAATCACGGAAAGAGCCCCAGTCAGCTTTAAAGTAGTTGTAAGAAGAATGATGATAAGGGGATTTTAATGATG